TTCTCAGCTTGTATTTCAGTTGGGAATCCGTTTTAACCTCCTTACAACAAATATGAAACTTCACGTCTGACTTTTAATGACATAAAGAACGTCTCAAAGAACCGACGAGTCGGGTTTTGCGTAAAAATGAAAGCATGAGCTGAAGTTTTCCCAACTTACGTGATCAGATAAGACAAAATGAGACAATTCAGGTAAAAATGAATATTAATCTGAAGTAAGGAAAACGGGGACGCATCGTCTCGATGTTCTCAAGAACATGTGACCGTCTGAAATATTGTTTCATAACTGCAACTTGAAGTGTTTGAGTTTTCATGTATCACAGAGCTTGTTTGATGAACAGTTTGACATTTTAATGATCTTATAATTAAATTACCTTTCAAATGCTTCCTCCCTGACCTCACAGATCCTCGAGCTGCAATAAGCACATCGAGTTTTCATGTAATGACGAGTGTTATATAAATAAACCTGACAGCGTACGCTGTGAGCAGTCAGAGCCCAGATCTGTCCGGCCTTATAAAGACTGCTTTAAAGATCAGGACCCTGTTAGTGAACAGAGGCCAAAACCTCAAACAGGACTTGTGATCCTTTTCTTAATTGTCTTATTGTGGCCTGCTGAGGTAAACACCTTTAAACCAGCGCAGAGTCGATGTGCTGCTGCTTCTGTCAGCTGATACAGAAGCTTCATGAAACCTTATCTCCCCACAAAAACTTCACATGCACACACATTTGCATAAAGCTGCGATAAAGGCAATGATGAAGATCGGCATGACAATAGAGGATTATATTATCGGTGTTTCTGCTGCAGTGTCATCAGATAAACGTGTGAACTGCTATTTATTCTCAGAAACACTAAAAGTAACATAACTCATCGCACATCTAAGGTAGAAAACAACCAGACCTGGATGTAATAGAAGTGCACTGATGTAGAATTACAGTGTCTGGATTCATTATGTGTAACAATCACCAAAGAACTCCAGGAAAACTGGTCAGGATCAGGTGAAGAAGACGAGGGATGTTAAGGTCCTGACGGGACAGGTTTCACTCCAGCATTTGAGTGCAAACTCTAAGTAATTCTGAGACAGTCACTTATGATGCACAAAGAGCCTGAGGAGCATTGATCAGTACATGCATGCATACTAGGCTGATTATTAAATCTTTGTTCATTATTTTCCTTCTTCCTGTTTGTGCTGACGTTGGCTCCTGTCCCTTTAAGACCAGCCTCTGTTTGATGCCACAGTTACACCAGAGACAACAGCTGTCTGAGATCTGTGGCATCACTGTGATAGACTTACAGCCTGCACGCACTTCTCTCACTGCTACACTGAACCATTATGAATCGTTATTATCAGGATGTCCCAAAAAACTCCATAAAAATGCTGCAGCAAGAGTCCTGACAGGGACTAGAAAGAGAGAGCAGATTTCTCCTGTTTTGGCTTCCTGTTAAATCCAGAATTCAAAATTCTGCTCCTCACATACAAGGTCTTAAATAATCAGGCCCCATCTTATCTTAATGACCTTGTAGTACCATATCA